AAAAAAGTGAAATATGTATGTGTGTGCTTATAGGTATACGTTTATAGCCATGCATGTATACATATATATGCATGCGTGTCCATGGAATACTTGGGGACCCCTTCATGTTCTACTGTGTTGTACATCTTAGTCCTCAACAGACTGCCTCATGCATGATTGTGCCAGTGCTAAATTTCAGAACTGGGCTTAAGTCCCTAAGTGTTCTGTAAGGTGCAGGGATTTCTTAAATTTGCTGTGGCTTTATAATTTAGTTTATAAAAGCTTGTAGGTCAGGCCAACCAAAGGGCGAGCTACCTGACTGCTGGTACCGTAGCCTTTAAGTTCTTGCACATCTCTCTGGGAGGAGTCTCTGCCTGGTGCCAGGGAGCTGGTGCTTTGGTACTGCGAACGGTTTAATGTTTGAGGGAGGGGTGGGAAGCAAAAATTAAATCGGAGCAGATTTGGTCTGGAGTTCTGCTTACAGTGTATGCTCAAAGTTCTTTCCTGAAACTGGCTGGCATATCCAGAAGACTGATTTTTCATTCTTTACAGGGTAAAAATTCCTGTCCCTGGACAGAATTGCCTGCAGGCTTGCTGGTGGGATGGCTTGCTGTCTAACCTGTGCAGGCAGGTGACGGCAAATTTCCCCTGCTTATAAGAGCCTCGGGCTGGGGAGGGGGGAGAAAAAAGCAGCTGTGCAGCATAAATCAAGATATGGTATTAAGCAATCTGACCCAGGCATCCTGAGGACGGGAAAGCCAATACACCTTGAGCTGTACGCTGCTACAGTTTAAGGGTCCCTGTCTTACCTTGTATAAATGCAGCCTTGGTGTTAATGTGGAAAGACACGCTGGGCTGTATGTATTTTTATTAATAGATTGCTGGGGGCTATATTAGGGAGATAACTACTGTTGTATCTGCCTTAGAGAAGGGATTGCCAGCCTTTTTAGAGTTGCAAGAGTAGTTCGTAGTCTTCTTTCCCTTCTCTCCCACACTGATTGCCGATAGATCCAAGCGTGCTTTTGAGAGGCCCAGCCTACATAATTGCACTGTCTTTGGGCTGACAGTAAAATTCCTGCCTCTGTGTATTTCCTTGGATCCTTTCTATTCCAGTCTTTACACATGCCTTGGGTGTATAATATTCTGATTCTTCTGTTCCTTCGTTCTTCTAGATGGGTCTAAAGCATTGGTATTTTACAGTCCTTGGGAATCTGTCATTTAGGGGTTCTCAAGAATAATCAAATCATTATTCTCAGTTCTCCTTTCTGGTTTTATAAAATGGAGCTGAAGAAGTTCACCAAAATGTCTAATTACTTTGTAGATCCTAACTTCGAGTTTGTAATCCTTTGTCCTTGGTGTTAGTTGTACTAGCTCTCTGAGCCCAATATGCTATTTCAGTGAAAATTAACTGCCTGACATGTGGCAGTTTTCTTCCACATTTTTCCTTTTACTAGTTAGATACTTGAAGATATTTTTTTTTTAACTTCCTTGCCTAGTAATGGTCTGTTACTTCCTACTGCAGCCTCGCTTACTGCGTCTGTACGTACTTACGCTGTTCTTTTTTATATCCGCGCATAGTAATTTGACCTGGTTTTATCTCCTCATGTAATTCTCTTTCAGTTTCAGGTCACTGTGGACATCATTATTTAGGCAAATCAGTTTCTTAATACACTTCCTTTTTCTTGGTGCTAGACTCATTAGTGCTTGTGTGCCTTAATGTGGTTTCTTTAAGAAAGTGCCAGTTCCCTTGAATTCTTTACCTTAGTGGTCAGTCCTTCCAAGTGTACTGGAATTTGAACGTCTTTGCATCGGTAATCCTTGTTTTCAGGCAAATCACCGTTTTTTACCAAAATGAGTCTTGAGTTGTGTAGAGACTTTGGTGGCGGCGATGTTTGGAATGTTTTTAGAAAGCCTGCTCTGATAATAGCATGGGGAGGGCTTCCTGCAGCAGAACCGTCCTTAAATAACAACACTGGCTTGGCTTAGCACGGGCTGTTCCAAAGTGAACGATGAAAAAAACTTGCTAAAAGGTTCACTCTGAACTTTCTTTACAGCATTATGTTTACATTTGTTTTGTTAGTAGGTGAACCCAGATGTCCTTGAAGAGTAGGAAATGGAGTATTCTTGAAATCATGGGATTATCTCTGATTTTTTTTCAGTTGGGCTGTGGAATTGCAAATAATCTGGTGGAGGCAACGGCTGGTTGCCTACGTAGTCTGATGCATGTGAAACTGATTTTAGGAGGAAGATCCTTTTCATGCTCTCTGCAGCTGCTCCAGGCTGTCAGTGAAAGACGAGCGTGAACCAGGAAGGTAACGAGAGCAATACAGAGATGGCTTTGTTGGCTTTGCGTCTGGAGGGACCAGGAGGGCTGTGCTGGAAGCTCAATCCGAGCTCTCTGAAGCATTCCTGTCACTTATTGAAGAAGTGTCCCTTGGCCTCTTGAGGTTCCGCAGAACCTTTCTCTGAGGATGACTATGGGAAGGGCCGGTGATGCGTTCAGGGCAGTATTTCAATTGTGGAGTAATTTGTGAGTTGTACATCACGGGCTCGGGCAGGCCTGTCATCTCCTGGGTATTAATAGCAGCCAGGAAGGGGCTCAGCATTTTTACATTTGGGCTTGTGGAATTTCTCAGTTCTTCCTCATGGTTTTTTGTGGGCAGCCCAAGCTGCCGAGTGACTTAACTGTGGTGACACACATCAATGTTTCTTCTGAATTCTTCCCTGTATTTCCCTCTGCTGTGAATAGAGAAGCCGAAGTCAAAACACCGCTCCAAATTAAGGGAATACGACTCCTCTTTGCTTTCTTAATTTTTTGCTGCTACTGCTAGTGCTTTTTCTTGGGAAGAGACTTGCCCTTTGTCCTTCAGAAATTATCCCAAATTATTAATATGGAAATTTTAATATATAAATATTCTGATAATTATCAGAAGTTATTATTTATAGAAACTATCAGAAATTATCCCAAAATATTAACTACACCTTCATTCCAAAACAAAACAGACAAAAAAAAAACCCACTGATGGAATAAAATTGTGGATTTCTTTGCGTGCTGGTCCTTTACATGCCAGGTGTCACTTAGGAATCAGAAGGTGGGATTTGTTTGCTTGTGCTCTGGATCAGCCAGCTTGTTTTTGAATGGCCAGGTCCTACACCCCCATCGTATGGTGCTGTGGCCTTGTCAAATCCTTGACCTCACCTGTATCCAGGAGAGAACAGGAGAAGGGCAGTAGGTGGGATGTCTCCTGTTCACCTCGCTGGAGCCTGACTGCTTGCTGTGCAGGCCAGGTTCCAGTTCAGAGCGTAGCACATCATTGTGTCTGTCCTTCAGGAATGGGCATCCAAGTTCCTGGAGCAGGTCCCTAGGAAGTGGATTTACAGTCGACATTCATATGCTGTCAAATACCTGTTTGTCAGTCACTTCCCTTCGGCCTGATGCAGGAGTGTTGATGTTCTGGAACAGGGATTGGCATCCTGTCTGGTGGAGAATCCCTTGGTCTGTCACCTGTTTCCCCTGAGGTGTGAAGGGACTAAACCGAGTGTGTTCTTGGCTTAACCTTGCTCTTTGTGTTCTTTCCTCAGCTGGGGAGTCCCCCTTGCCATTACAGTGGCGGCTGTTGCTCTGAAGAAGATTGGCTATGATGCCTCCAATGTTTCTGTGGGCTGGTGTTGGGTCAACTTGGATGCAGAGGATCGGGTCTTGTGGATGCTGCTAACGGGGAAAGTTTGGGAGATCCTGGCCTACGTCACTTTGCCGGTGCTCTACATTCTCATCAAGAAGCACATTAACAGAGCGGTGAGTGTTTTGCTGCCTTCAGCTTAGATTGGGAAGAAGATTGCTATGTGATTATATCCTCCCATGCTCTGAAGATTTAGCTGCATATTTAGCAGCTACACAGGCAGGAATTGCTTCATATACTACTGAAATGCACCTGCCGCTGGGAGAAGCGGTACCCCCGATTGAGCAGCCTACAGCATCACTACACAATGACTTAGCACAAGAAGAATGTAAAAGCCTTTTGAAAACTTAGAGGGGTTACGGGGTGTACATGAGTGAAATGTAAATCCTGCAGGAAGAACTGAAGCAGGATGTGAAGGACAAAATTCAGCTTTAATCAGTCTTCCACAGTTCCACTTGTACCAGGTCTGAGATTGGCGCCTGGACTTACCTAACCTCCGTCATTTTAGGATCTCTAATGATAGTTTGAGTTTATGAATACCTGTTTTGTACTAGCAGCATAAAGCCCCATTTGGAAGTCTGGGCACTAACGTAGCATTAGGCACCATGTGCATACACAATAGAGGAAGATGCCCTGTCCTAGGAGGGTTTCAGAATTCAGAGGCTTATTTGCTGCTGTGCCTGGTGAACACAAAGAATCCAGGCATCTAGGACGACACTGCATAATAGAGAAATCTGGATTGAGAGTGGCAGAAGGAACTACATCCAGAGATTCCTTTTTGGTCTAAGTTGTATTTAGGGGAAAAAACCCCACGTCTGCACAGTTGTCCTTCTGGAAAATCCTGCCACTGCAAACCTGCTTGCTGTGGTGCAGCTATGGCAGTTGTAGTTAGGGATAAACACAAATCTGGTTCGGGCAAGATCCCGCAGACGAGTTGGAAGAACAGCGTAGTCTTAAGCAATCCGCAGGGTCCTTGGCAAGAAGCGTTGGGAAGGGTTTGCTAGTGCCTGTCACCATCACCTGACATAAATCAGACGGGACGCTGTGTTCCAGCGGCTGTCAAAGATAGCAGCGTGACTGCCTGGAAACCTGACCTAGCCAGGCTCTTGCTCTGCCAGGGATTCTTGGGCACTCTGCTCTCCCTACCCCACTGCCAGCCCTGGCCCTCCTACAGAGCCGTGCTGAGGGCAGGCAGCTCCCTCTGCTTTCATCTGGGGGGGTCTGAGGGCTGGAGCAGCAGCACACGGGGCCTTCTGGACTGGAGCATCTCTCTTCTCATCCTTAGGGATTTTGCCAAGCCTGGTAGCCTCTTTACTGGCAGGAGGTCTCCCACTTCCAAGGAAGAGCAATAGGCAACCAGGGCTGGGTTTGGGCTGGATTCATGGCTGAAGTGGGTTTTGCAGTAGTGGCTCCTGCACAGTCTGAGAGGCAGGAGAAGTTATGGAAGTAGCTGTTGTGGGGGACACAGGCAGGGTGTGTGTACTAGGGGCTTTCCAAATGGAAAAGACTGCATGGGTGCGGATGGGAATCTGCACCGAAAGCCCTCGGCAGGGTTTGACTCGGGTCACCGTGCAGCGTTGTCATACAGCTCTGCTCTGGAGGAATAAGGTGTCAGGACTGGGAATACTGGCGTGAAGGAGAATATACGCATCCAGGTTGTGTATGCTATGTAGCCTTGATGGTGGGAGGCATAGTTTTCTGCAGGTCAGCTATCCTGAGATTTCATCTCTTCACCCACATGAACATCCTGGTGTTCAGCATCGTGTGTCCCAGCAGCTGCTCGGTGTGCTGCCTTCGCCTCCTCTCCCCCATCCGGCAGCCTGAGTGCATCCAGTAGCTTCTACCATCTGAAGGTCTCATGGACCTTACACTTCTAACCACCCTCATCCAGGGCACAGATCTCTGCTTTTTTTTTTACATGTGCTAGTAGTCTACGTTTACTGGCTTGTTGAAATCTATGGAAGCCCATTGCTGACAGCAGTATATGGTCAGAAATCAGGCGGCAGATTCTACACAAGCGTACTGAAGTAGTGGTTCACGTGGGCATAAATTCCTTGGGGAACTTGCTGGCTTTGGTCATGGTGAAGGCCAAAAGGTTGAATAGTTTGAGAAGGATGAGGCAGACTTCTCCCCATATATATATCTCTATATCTATCAAGAGACCTTCCCAAGGTCGAACCGCTCGCCGTGCATTTACAAAGTGGTGAAGGCAGCAGCAATGGGGCCAGGTCACTGACCCAGCGAAACTATTTTGTGAAGCACTGCATTTTTCTTTTTTTTTAACATTATTATGACCTGGTTTCTTGGCAGCTATGCAGTGATATTTGTTAATATAAAGCTTTAGTGGGACTTTTATAAGGGCCGCATATCCTTTATTTGCTACTCCTTGGCTTCAGCCGGAATGTTTGCGTTAGCAAGGGCAGAATGTGGCTGAAGGCTGGTGCTCGTAACTGTGTCCCTGGTATCTTCCCACAAGATGCAAAAATTTAGTTTGCTTCGGGAAGAAGCCCTGGAGCTAAATGTCCAATGTGTGTAGCTTTTTGTTCACGTTTTTGTCTCCCTCCCACCCTCCATGGAAGCACGCAGCGCTCTCAGAGTATCGCCCCATTCTGTCAAGAGCACCTGCATTTCAACCCCGGACTTCCATAGCAGATAAGAAGTTGATTCTCATCCCCATCATCTTTATCATCCTCCGCATCTGGAGCACTGTGCGATTCGTTCTGACCCTCTGTAACTCCCCTGCAGTGCAAAATTCAGTCCTGGTTGTCCTGCATGTAAGTATTTGCTAGGAACTGTGTTAGAAGGAGGATCTGGGAGGGAGATAAAGCTTTGTTACTCTTAGTATCACTTTTTTGTGGCCAGGATGCAGCACGTACTGGTAAAACTACATGCCTGCTGCAAGATCTGCTCCTGCAGCAAGTGTTGTCGGGGATGCTCAGCAGCAGCTCTCTCAGCATCTGGTGGCTACGGAGAATAACTGCAGTAGGAGAGCTGGGCGATGCTGGCGGCTTGTAGGAAAGGCAGGCTCAGACCAGAAATGTTGGGTGAATGTCCTTCAGCAGGGCTCAGCCTGCTCCTTCCCTAGACAAGGCCATAGAAACAGCAAACCACAAGAGCCATCTGGTCTGCTTTTGGGTGCAAGGTTGATTTTTCCGAATCTGTTTTTCTCGTTTAGGTGGAAGTTGCTGACTGTCAGTTGGGCGGTACTGTAGCTGGCCTGGCATGATGTTTGCTCTTCTCTGGGGGTGCCTGTAGGAACGGCACTGATTAATTCCTTTCTTGCCCTTGCAGGGAATTGGTAACACGTTCCAAGGAGGTGCCAACTGCATTATGTTTGTCCTCTGTACACGAGTGGTCCGGACTCGGCTGTTTTCCTCCGTTTGCTGTTGCCACTACGATGAGTTGAATTGGCGTTTGCAAAGCTCGAGCGGCTGCTGGCAGCATCCAGAACCCCACAAGACCAAGGATGTGCCAGGCCCTGAGCAGACGAAACCCCTGCTTTCCAGCACCTGAGCCTGGGCTGCCTACATCTCAGTGTTGATTTCTTCTTCCTTGGTAAAAATCTGGTGTGAGTCTTTCCTCCTGCCCTGCCTGTGCACAGCTTCATGATACGAGGGGTGGGGAACAGCTGTCAGTAAGCAGTTGACAGAGCTGCCGCTGTTGGGGGGTTCCCTGTCTGACTCTGCAGCAGCTCCCCATCATGTTCCTTTGGGGTGAAAGCATTTCTAGAACTGATCCACTCCCCTCCCCTGTGAGCTGGGGCAGTGTCTGTTACTCAGGCCTGTAAAATGAGGAAACAGACTGCAAGGACAGGACACCAGTGAGAACTCAAGAGGAGGAAGTAGTGGCTGCTTTTGATGTAAAATACCATGCACACATACATTTGTTCAGTAGTGCACAGTTCAGATGTATTTAGTAACCCAAGTACCCCCCATAAGGTAATGCAATCTCCACTCCCCATCATCATCAAAAGAAAATGAAAGTTAAGTGATTCATCCAAGCTTATGTAGAAAATCTGTTAGAACAAAAACTTGACAGAAGCCCTTCATCATTTCTGGTGCAAGATTGGACACTGATGTCCTTGCATTGGTCTAGTAGTGTAAGCAGTTGTTTCCTTGCGTTGACCTCCTGAGTGATGGTTGCAGAGCATATAGGGGTGTCAGACTTAATATTTTTAAGAGCACGTGGGGTTGGGGTGCTGTGTGGGTTTCTGTCTATGAAGCAGATATCGATAGCACTCTCTTCAGTAACAGAGTGTGGCTGAAGGAGGTAAAAACCTAGACCAGCTATCCTGACCGCTTAGGTAAATGTAAACTGATGTGCTGGGAACTGCTGTCTCTTCCGAAAGAGTACGAAACCCTGTGTACTTCTGCAGTTAGACTTACCTTGCAGGTCACCCCCAGTAAAAAGGGCTGAGTCTGAAAGGCAGCAAGCCTGCCTGGGTCGCGGGGCACGGCAGGGGCTGAGCATCCTGGAAAGCAAGCTGTGCATTGGGTATGGTAGGTCCCTGAGCACATCTATTTCTTGTCCTCTCAGACCACAAAGCCCAAAAAAACAAAGGATTTTTTTTTAATCAGTTGACAATTTCTTCTAATTTGTAGAACAAGTTTTTGCGAAAAGAACAGGGGCCTCATGAATTGCCTGGGGAGAGAGGGCGGCTGTCAGGCTCCCCGTGCTCCAGGCACCCAGCTGTTCAAAAACTGCTCTTGATAGTTTAGTTTTAGTCATTTTAACAGCATGCAGAACAGTTAAATGATACAGTGCTCTCATGGAACTATAGGCAGAAGTGAGTTCTGTTATTCCCTAAATTGAAGACTTGGCATTAACTTTATTGCTATATTAACCTATTTAAGCCCCCTTGTACACAGGCTGTGTAAACATGGGAAGGTGGAGCCCTCAAGAGCTCATTACCCCGTTTCGTGGGGCTGTAGAGGGGCTCCGTTCTTTAGCATCCCTAGAGTCTTTGAAGGGTAGATGTAAGCATCTTATCTCTGGCATAGATGACTTCAAGAGGTTTTTCTTTCTTTCAAAAGGCTTATTTGAACTTGTAAAAGCTAAGTAGGAACCTCGGTAGCTCAACCTTGTGTTAATCCCACGTGTCTTGGAAAGAGGAGCTATGTTAAAAACGTCTTGCAGAAAGGCGGGATAGTAAATCTTAAATTTTATGAGACTTTGAATTGTGCCGTGGTCAGTTTTTTGGAGCCAGCCCTGAAGAGAGAAAGTAAAATTGTCACGAATTTGGCTTAAGGGAAAACAAAACAAAACATCACAAATACACACACACACCCCCCAAAACCACAAAAAAAATCCCGAATCAAAACAGATCCCTTGTTCTCAGTTTGCCTTTTTCCATAACAGAGCTCTGAGAAATGCTTTTGGAGGAATGTGCAGCTCGACAGAATTAGTTTTCCTGCTCCCAGGGGTTCGGGGAGGCATGCTGGTTTGCAAAGGCCAGCTGTTGGCGATAGCAGCGGTGCTGATACAAGTGGAAAGTCTCTGGCCATCTTCATGTCGGCAAGGACAGAGAAAGAAAACCAGCCAGCAGAGAGCCTTAGAGGTGTCCGTAGTTCCTAACACTGAAGCTGACTTATCAGAAGTGGGATAATAGGGGAGGTGATGTGCAGAAATGCTTGGCTGCTCCTGGCAGGTCCCCCTCGGTCTCAGGCATGAAGTGCAGGGTTGGTGCTGGAGTGAAGTTCTCCCTACAGCCTCAGTTGTCTGGGAAGATGACTCTGAACTCTTTCCTGTCAGGCATGGACTGGAGAATTTTAACTCGGATGTTTCTGAAGGTGGCTGAGGGTGGGGTACCTGGCTGTGCTTTAGGAATGGGTCCATCACACCTGTTTTCAGCTGCAAGTTGACGTCCCCACACCTTGAGCTGCAGCAAGCCTGTTGTCCTGGCTCAGGGCAAAGCTGTGCACACTGGCTGCAGGAAGATGGGACAGTCCTGGATTTTAACTGGGCTTTGTTTTGAGCAGATGCGGGATCATTCTGGAGTCCCACAGAGGGAGCTGAAGCCTGGGGAAATGCACGGCTGGAGTAGTTGAGCGAATGGTAGAGGTCCGTCTCCTTCTCGGCTTTGATCTTGGACGTTGCTCAGGATCCTCTGGAAGATGCTGTTTGCCTGTCCCTCAACTTGCTGGTTTTCTTCCCTCCTTCCCCTCACTCTGCACTATAAATCTTAGAAATTGTTTGAGGTTTTGCTTTTCTGTCTAAGGCAACTGTGTTGTGAGTTCTGGGGTGAACAAATATCATGGTGACAGGAAAGCTTCAGGAGCTGCTGAAAAGGACTATCCTGGGCGTGGATTTCAGTCCTAGTGTGTGAGGTCTTCCAGGGAGCTCCAGATTGGCTCCTGTTCTTTACTTGAATATGGACAGTAGTGTGCAAACATGCTTGTTTTGGGGTGGTGATGGACGGTTCCTCTTGATGGTTTATTCCTCCTCCTTCGTGTTTAGGGGTCGTCATCATCATCAGGGTTTGTGGTGGCAGCATGATTATTACCTCCTGAGGAAATCTGAACTCTGCAGACTCCTTGGTGCTCAGGGATATCTGGGTATACCACCCCAGCCTCCAGCAAGGACAGCCCTCACCACCAGCAAGACGGTGCCTGCCGTGTGCTCTGGACATCAGATGTCCTCTGCCGAAGCACAGGCTACAGTCTCTTCTTGCTTCGGGAGTGTTGTATCGGGGAGGGGATGGATTTTTGTTTGCTATTTGGAGATAGTGTTTTACCTTATTTACTGCTCCTCTGTTGTTTTGAAATATTTTCTCCAACTTTTACAAAATAAAGTTTTGTTTCTTTACCAAGATGATGTTCAAGCCTGTTGTGATGGGTCTCAGCACCTTGGAGAATTTGGATGAGAAACTGCTGCAAGATCTTCCTTCAGGTTTCTTTGGTGTCTACCTTAAAGACTGAGGCATGTACAGGAAGACAAATCTTTTCTGCCTGTTTGTAGATAAGTTCCTCTTCCTACCTTTTTTAACACGTATAGAAATTTAAACCTTTCGTCACTTTGAGCAACCTTTTCACCAGTATGCATGGTTATAGTTCATTCTTACTGGCCTATTGCTATGCACTGTGAAAAGACCTCTGAGAAGTGAGTAGGTGAGTCGTGTTTCCCTTCGGCTCAGTTACCTGATAGCCACAGTCCATGAGGTCCTGTGAGATTACAAATGTTATGTATTCATGAGATCACTAATTGCGCTTTCTCCAGATGAGGCCAGGCTCTAAGGTAAGTGGGACTAATGTTGGGAAGAGCTGGTGCCATCCCAGGAATTGTCCAAATAAAGAAAACTCAATTACAAGGAAAAAAACCTGAGGCATGCTTTTTAAGTTGCCTTGTGACTCCAACTTGCGAATGAACTTTTCTCAGAATAGATTCAGACTTTCTTGGCTGTTTCACAGGGCTGGAAGCAGCCGAGACCCCTGGTGTAATAAGTGGGGCTGGACCATGGCTGTATTCCCAACCAACTGAGCGATAGTGTCTGTTACGACTGGGGAGCTCTGGACTGAGGACAATAAAGAGCAAAGGGCTGTATCTAAGATATTTACAACATTTTCCTTGTTCTTGGGGCTTTCAGCTCTTTTACCAGTACTGTTGATACTGATTTGGTCACTGCAAAGTCCTGTTCTCCTTTCTTCCCTTCTTGTCTCCTTCCCAAGACTTGAATCTAACCGTGCAAGAAGATCCTTGGCTCTAGGAGTGAACCGAGGTTCTGTAGTGGAGGAGGATTTGGGCGATGTCAGTTTTACTTTAAAACCTAGAAGTTGCGTGTTTAGTGAACCATCTATTTGCAAGAAAAGAATAAATCTTGTTGCTAAAGCAGAGGAGCATCTTAGAAAGTAATTTCTGGTTGTGCCACTACTATCTTCCCTTCTCATCATGAAGAGCAGTTACAGAGATGACACCAGAGTACCCTAATGCTGCCAAACCTGATGTATTATGCCACCATAATTCTTGCAAACAAGTAGCTCCTGCTGCTCAGCAGCAGTGTGAATGTCTGTTGTGCTGCACTGAATCCCACGTATCTTGTAGTTGTGCAACCCTATAGGGAACCGCAGAAATCAATGCAGAATGGCACGAGCTGGCGAAAGGTGGGTCTTGGCTGGCACACTCGGTATTTCTGTCTGTCCTGGATAGAAAAATGAACCCACTAAGGTCCAAGAGTGCAGTGTGGGTATTTTAACAGTCAGGTGCTTCTGCTGCACAAAGTGCAGATGGAGATTTAATATCCAAGCATTCCAACACTTCCTGAAGCATCTTCTGGATCGCACAACCCTGCCGCAGAGAAAGGACCACACGGTTCGCAGACCAGCTTACCGGATTGTGATATGGTGAGTTTACAGATCTGTCTGCTCCTTTGTTTTTCTTATGGGGATGCATCTGTGTGCCTGAGGCGCTTCTGAGATGGTCTCAGAGAGCAGCAGTGGAAAAGGAAGAAGGCTGGCAGGATGCTACATAGCATTGCCCTTGTACAGCAAAAATAGGGTCTCGTTTACTTCTGAGTTCGA